GAACTGACAGGGTCAGATGAGTGGAAAAAAATACACACAGAAATTTTAAAAAGAAATGATTTGAGGGGCACCTGGGTGGCACAGTTGATTAAGCATCCAACTCTTCATTTCGGCTCAGGTCATGATCTCATGGTTCATGGGTTCGAGCCCCACATCGGGCTCTGTGCTGACAGCATGGAGTCTGCTTGGGATTCTGTCTCCCTCTTTCTCTGTCCCTCCCCTGCTCGCTCTATCTCTCTCTCTCTCTCAAAAACAAATAAATAAACATTAAAAAAAAAGTTTAAAAAATTTAAAAGAATTTAAAAAATTTAAAAAATAAATGAAAAAAATTTTTTAAAAAAAGAAATTGTTTGATAACAGAAAGAGATGAAAGCTGAAAAGTGAGTTAGTGGAGCTCAGGGGAAAATGAGAAAGAAAAATAAATACATCACATATTTTTTTAAAAACCCCATATAATAAGCAATGAATAAATGATGAAGCAGAGCATAAACAACTAGAGAGTTGTAATGAGTGGATTGCAAGAAATCACACAAAATTAAATGGAGAAGACTAATAAGACAAAAATGACAGATATAGGAGGCAAAAGAAAACTCAACATATACATTGGTGAAGAAAACAGAATAATAGAACAGGAGGAAAAGTATTCAAGTATATAATGGAAAAACCCCTGAAAAACAAAACAAAAACAAAACTTGGCTCTACAAATTAACTGCCATTCACTGGCCCAGGAAAACTCGATGGTGTAATTAACACCAAGGCATCTTTAAAAAGGTCCTGATCTTAAAGGATAAAGAAAGAACCATATAACTAAGGGGGCAGAAAGGTGAATTGAGAATTAGAATCCTCCATAGCAACCCAATTTCAGAAAACAGTGGAGCAATATCTACAGAGTTGTGAGAGAAAGAAATTATGAACCAGAATTTTATACCCAACAAAACTGTCCTTTGAGTATAAAGTTAATGGACATTCTGTAACATAAATTTAGAGGCTTAGGCATCCATAAGGTCTTAAAAAATTACTTCATGCTGAAATCCAGCCCACCAAAATAAGTTCATCAATGGAAGAATCCTGGTGAATACTGAATTAATATTTTTGAAATTGGAGCAATTATTGTTTTTGAATAGAATATAAAAACCTTGACAATGTACACAAATAATAACAAAAATTGAAAGTGGAAAAACAGAGGTGGATGGCATGAAAGTTGATTCATTATATAGATTTAAAACTTAATAAGGGATGAATAGTCAGAGCACAGGGGTTTTTAGGGCAGTGGAACTATTCTGTATGATACTATAAAGGTGGATACATATCATTATACATTCGTCAAAACTCAGAGAATATACAACACAATGCAAACCATGGACTTTGGGTGATAATGATGTCCTGATATAGGTTTATCAATTGTGACAAATGTGCCACTCTGGTGGGGGATGTTGATAGTGGGGGTGGCTGTGCATGTGGGGGCAGGGGAGTATATGGGAGTTCTCTGTACTATCCTCTCAGTTTTGCTGTGAACCTAAAACTGCTTTTAAAAATACAGTGTATTGATTTAAAAAAATGATTCTAACCTATTAAAAGTTTTCTCTCACGGACTTCAAGCTATATTACAAAGCTGTAATCATCAAGACAGTATGGTACTGGCCCAAAAACAGACACTCAGATCAATGGGACAGAATGCAGAACCCAGAAGTGGACCCACAAACATATGGCCAATTAATCTTTGACAAAGCAGGAAAGAATATCCAATGGAATCAACACAGTCTCTTCAGCAAGTGGTGCTGGGAAAACTGGACAGCGACTTGCAGAAAAATGAACCTGGACCACTTTCTTACACCATACACAAAAATGAACTCAAAATGGATGAAAGACCAAATGTAAGACAGGAAGCCAACAAAATCCTCAAAGAGAAAGCAGGCAAAACCTCTTTGATCTTGGCTGCAGCAACTTCTTACTCAACATGTCTCCAGAGGCAAGGGAAACAAAAGCAAAAATGAACTACTGTGACCTCATTAAAATAAAAAGCTTCTGCACAGCGAAGGAAACAATCAGCAAAACTAAAAGGCAACTGACAGAATGGGAGAAGATATTTGCAAATGACATATCAGATAAAGGGTTAGTATCCAAAATCTATAAAGAACTTATCAAACTCCACACCCAAAAAACAAATAATCCAGTGAAGAAATGGGCAAAAGACATGAACAGACACTTCTTCAAAGAAGACATCCAGATGGCTAACAGACACATGAAAAAATGCTCGACATCCATCATCATCAGGGAAATACAAATCAAAACCACAATGAGGTACCACCTCACACCTGTCAGAATGGCTAAAATGAACAACTCAGGCAACAACAGATGTTGGTGAGGATGTGGAGAAAGAGGATCTCTTTTGCACTGCTGGTGGGAAGGCAAGCTGGTGCAGCCACTCTGGAAAACAGTCTGGAGGTTCCTCAAAACTTTAAAAATAGAACTACCCTACGACCCAGCAATGACACTACTAGGTATTTATCCAAGGGATACAGGTATGCTGTTTCGAAGGGGCACATGCACCCCAATGTTTACAGCAGCACTATCAGCAATAACCAAAGTATGGAAAGAGCCAAAATGTCCATCGATGGATGAATGGGTAAAGAAGATGTGGTGTGTGTGTGTGTGTGTATGTGTGTGTGTGTATGTGTGTGTATATATATATATACACACATACACACACACACACATACATACATATACACCCCACACACACAATGGAGTATTACTCAGCAATCAAAAAGAATGAAATCTTGCCATTTGCAACTACGTGGATGGAACTAGAGGGTATTATGCTAAGCGAAATTAGTCAGAGAAAGACAAATATCATATGACTTCACTCATATGAGGACTTTAAGACACAGAACAGATGAACACAAGGGACGGGAAGCAAAAATAATATAAAAACAGGGAGGGGGACAAAACAGAAGAGACTCTTAAATATGGAGAACAGAGGGTTACTGGAGGGGGTGTGGGAGGGGGGACGGCCAAATGGGTAAGGGGCACTAAGGAATCTACTCTTGAAATCATTGTTGCACTCTATGCTAATTTGGATGTAAATTTTTAAAAATGAAATAAAATAATTAAACAAAAGTTTTCTCTCAGAAAGCTAACTAAAGTTTACCAGAGGCTGGGGAGGGGGGAAACTGGGGAGGCATTGTGTGCTGGTTATAGGATTTCTATTTGGGGAATGAGAACATTTTGGAAATAGGAGAGGAGATGGTTGCACAATACTATAAATGTACTAATGCCACAGAACTGGACACTTAACATGTTTGAAAGGGCAAATTTTGTGTTATATAATGACTACAATTAAAAAAAAATAAGAATGTAGTATAAAAAACCCCACTGAATCACACACTTTAAATCAATGAATTGTATGGTGTATGAATTGTATGTCAATAAAGCTGTTTAAAAAGTTTTTCTCTTAAAAAAAGTTTTTCTCTTTTCCCCATTAACTTTAAGGAACTTTTAGGAACTACTTATTATCACTTAAGATTAAGAAATGTGTTTCTCAAAAATAAATAAACATTTGGGGCACCTGGGTGGCTCAGTGAGTTAAGAAATGTGTTTCTGAAGTTTAGCAATTTCTTTCCATTTCATTTCAAAGACATACAAATGGATTTGTCTTCAGTTAAATTTAAGAAAATTAAACTTGACTTTTTATTTTAAAACTGCACGCAGGGGCACCTGGGTGGCAGTCAGTTAAGTGTCTGACTCTTGGTTTCAGCTCAGGTCATGATCTCACAGTTCATGGGATTGAGCCCCGCATCAGGCTCTGCACTGACAGTATGGAGCCTGCTTGGGATTCTCTCTCTCCTTCCCTCTCTCCCTCTCTCTCTCTCTGCCCCTCCCATGCTCACGCTCTCTTCCTCTCAAAATAAATAAATACTAAAAAAAAAAAAAAAACACAAAACAAAACTGCATGCAGACTAAGATCCATTTTTTTTTTTTAAAGTTCTTACTACTCTGTATGTGTGCGTTTGTATAAAGAGTCTGAAATAATGCTCACTGGATGCTGGTGAGGGTTACCTCAGATCGATGGAATTTGGGACAACTTTTACTTGTACTTTTCTTTGTTACTTGATGTTTTACAAGGCGCAGCAGCAGACTTTGAGTATCATTTTGAGTACTAACCAGGGAAGGACAGTCAATGCAGTTGTTAAAACCGCGGACTTTGAGTCAGCCAGACTTTCCACCACCTCCCAGCTCTGACTGTGGTCAAACTGCTTAAACTCTTTGATCTTTCATTTTATCTTCCACAGAACAGCAAAATAGCAGGTGAGAACAGCACCTGCCCTGTTGGGCTGTCTTGTGGCTTAAATGACACGATGCACATAAAATGCTTAGCCCAGTTCCACCCGGTACTCAGCCAGCCATTAGGTGGTGTTAACGTGCTCGGCAGGGTCAGGCAGGCTGGGCCCTGGGCCTGGGCAGCTTTCTGGCTGTGCTGCTGACCTCAGGCACAGACACTAAGCCTACCTCCGTCAGGGAAAGACAGCCCAGCACCCAGGCACAGACATCGGAGGGACAAATGACCCCTTGGCAGGCCGGGTCTGCTTCTCAGATGGAATGTGAACCTGCTAGGCATGACACAGGGTCCCCGTGCTTTCCTCCTGGTTGAGCCTGGAGCAAGAGGGTGCAGCTGGAGCCCAGGCCAACGAGAGAAGGCAGTGTGACTTGTGCGCCTGCCTGTGCCCTGAGCCCCCTTCAACCAGCAGCCGAACCCTCAGACAAGCTCATCACACCCACTCGGGCTGCTCGCGAGACACCCATTTCATCTCCGTCCCCGCTGGAGTCGTGACGGGTTAGACAGGGTTATATTTTACTCCTTTCCACGGGGCAGCCTTCAGTGCCTGGCGCAGTGAGACGGAAGAAAGGAAAACAGCTCCAGATGCCCTTCGTCGAGGGAAGCCAGGTGAGGAGTCTGAGTGACCGCTGTGCCCCCAATGCACCCATACGCACATCCCCCCAGGCCCTCTCCAGGGAAGACAGGGACAGACCTTCCAATGGGCCTCATGCGTGGCACTTGGCCCCTGATCTGTAGAAAAGACTTGGCTTTCCAGAACCCCCATATTCATGATCCCAGGACCCATGTTAACCAGGGAGGAGACGGACAGGGCACCAGCAGGCATGGTGGGAGAGCCCAGCCCTGGACAAGGCACAAGGTCCAGAGAGCTCCAGGCCAGGGCTCTGGCACAGGCAGACAGGGGGAAGGGCCGTCACCCCCTCCTTCTCAGGCAGCCTGTCCCATCTGAACCCATATGAGGAAGACAAAAAAAAAAAGGAGGATGCAGATGACCAAACACCTGGTTTTGCCTGAGGGGTCAAGGGCAGGACACATCTCAGGGCCTCCCAGGCTGGAAGCCCAAAGGTCTTCAGTCACACCCCCCCCCCTCCCCCTGGGCATGGTGGGGAAGGGGCTGGGGTGGCCAGGCTGAAGGGACTTTGGTGAAGCCTGGCGGGTTGCCGGGGCTGGGCTCAAGAGGGCAGGCGACACAGCGGGTCGGAAAGACCACTCTGAGCAAAGGCCGTGGCTGGGAGGGAAGCGAGAAAATTGAGTTCATGGAACTTAATCTGTTTTTCCACGATTAGCTGGGGTTTGACGTCACAGATGGAATTGAGGAGCGAGGCTGTGCGGAGACAAGGGGGATGGGATCTGTCCAAACGCAATTCAGCTGCATTCTGGCCATTAGGTCTGGGAGCAACTCTGAGCCAGGCCGTCGGAGCCTGCCTAGACATTTGTGACCGTGTGGAGGACGGCTGGCAGCCTCAGAGCATCTGGAGCACCCCTTCTGGTTACCCTGGGTCTCTCCCCCACATCCTCCAGGAAAGCCCCCTTTCCTCTGCTCTCGGCTTCCCAAGTCTGCTGGCCCCTAATCAGGGGCAGAAGCAGGTAAGAGAACTTCATCTGCCCCCACGTGGGCAGCTCTCCCCCACCATCCACATCTAGGGAAGGCAGGCTCCAGATGAATAGGGGACAACCCCCTTGTGCCCCAGGGACGTGCCTGCCAGGCCAGGGGTGGGGTGGGGGAGCGTGTGCATGAAGTTAGCACCCATGGGCTGCCTCTCTGTCCCTGGGGGTAGTAGGCACATCCCCCAGGAAAGTCTGGGCTGGAAGGAGCTGGGGGAGGGGGGTCCAATCCCTGCCCCCAAGGGTGTTCCGTCTTTAGCTGTTAGATGTTGGACTTCCACCAAGATTTCTCTGGAGGAAAAGGTAAAGGACGTTCCCCCCACCCTCCACCACACCCCAGGTCAACGGTCACCTTATATATGAGAGTGAGACCTGGATTTCACAGGTGGGAAGAGCCAGAGGACACAGCCTCACCCCCTGCTCTGGCCTGAGCAATGGAACCAGGACCCATGGAGCCCCAAAGCCTTGGGCACCCCTGCAGTTACTGACATCCCAGGGAAGGCCATAAATCCCGTCACCGTGCACCCGGAGGGCCAAGCTGGGGACCTCTGCCAAGCCACTGCAGGGCTTGGCCATCAGACCCCAAGGGACAGTGGCCGCTGGGGGCACTGCAGGGCAGGTGCTGCTCTGCGAGGCTAGGAGCTTGGGGTGGTAGGAGCGAGACCCTTAGGAAATGCTTGAGGGCTGTGTAGCTTTTCACCTGTAACACCTCAACCCGAATGGCAGGCAGGGGGTTCAGCGGGAGGGTTTTTCATGGCTGCGGTGCAGAAAGCAAGGCAGACCCAGAGAGGGTGGGTGCCCTTACCCTGCTAAGGGGTATCAGTGCCCTGATTTCCTGACTCCTACTCCCTTGACGAGCCCGCAAATGCCAACGTCACTTGTGGGGGAAAGGGGAGAGGAGATTTGCACGTGGGGAACTGAAAACTGAGAGCCAGATCCTCTGGGCCAACATGAGGGGCTCGAGCCAGCACTCACCTCCTGCTCTGTACTCCTTGCCCTTGGGGGATCCTGCCGGCCACTGCTGCTCTGACCGTCCCCTTGGGGGATCCTGCCGGCCACTGCTGCTCTGACCGTCACCACGCGGGCCTCCAGGGGGTGCTCCCCACAGTGAGCACTCAGCACAGCTCCAACAAGCCTGAGCTGTTTTAAGAAGGCCACTGGACGAGGCCTTAAGAAGGACATGTGACGAAGGAAACACAAATCCAGAGGGACCTCGCCTACCAGCCTGGCGGCAGGCGGTGGCTCACACAGCCATCGGCTGGGGCGTGCTCAGGGGCCTTCCACCCGGTGGTCGCCTTTCCCGGGCGCTGCACTTCAGCAGCAACATCCAGATCATTCCATGTCAGCAGTGCACGTGTCTGCTCACCGAAGGTCCTGCGTCCGGGCCTCCCAAGAGCGTGTTGGCCTTGGAGAGAGCACCGCTCTGGGGTAAGAATGCCCCCCAGCTACTGAGGCAGAAGAAGGGGGGACCCCTCAGATGTTTGAAAGTGGGGGGCACCTCTAGGCGAGTGGGGCTCTGGTTACGCCGGTATCTGGCACAGAGATTGGCCCAAAGCACCTTTGCTCTTCAACTCCCCCCCCCCCACCCCGGAAGAAGCAGCTTCGGGGCACCCGAGTCTGCTGAGAGGCAGAGCTGGGATTTCCCCCCAGACGGGTGATGGCCCCTTGTTACAACGGCAGTGTGACAGCGATAACCTAAGTAAGCGTCAGTGACAGTCGCAGCAGACAGTGCTGAGTGCCCACTTCTCGGGCCAGCCTGGGCTCCGGGTTACGACTGGACACCCCGGGTGGGCCCAGCACCCAGCAAGCCTGCTACGGCGATCCAGCTTCCGCCACCATTGTGTACCTCTCTCCAATCCTCTTCTTTCTTTCCTCAAGTTCCCACCTTGGATCAAGTCCCCTCGCCCACACCCGCTGCCCCGTGACAGGGGCTCCCACGGGGAGCTGACCTGCCATCGGCCTGTGCCTTCCTACGGGAGTCTCCCCCGCCGCCAGCACGCACACATGCAAGGATCGGCCCCCGTGTTTACAACACGCAAACAAAACCCCCACGGCTCTCTTAACCCCACCCCATCTCTCTGCTCCCCCTTTATAGCAAAACTCCTCCTAAGACTTAGCTACGCTTGCAGTTTCCATGTTCCTAATCTCTTTCAACCCACTACTCCGCTACAAAGGCACCGGTCGGGGCCGCCAGCGACCCCGGCGCGGCTAAGCCGATTCTCAGTGCTCCATCACGTCTCCACCTCCGTTACTTCTTGTACTTAACACCCACTGATGGAGCACGTGCAGGTGGCAGGCAGGTAGCCCAGCCCTTGGACAGACCTGCACCCCACCGACAAACCTCTGCTTGGAGCCCAGCGGATGCAAGACTCCGGTTGGCTCCAAGCTGATCGGCCATAAGCTATAGATTATGCTTCGGTTTTTGTTCCAAAAAAACACAGCCGGGATCGTGCAGCCTCGGCAAGTGGCCCCGTGGGGCTGACCTCCGATCTAGAGGGGCACAGACTCCGTGGTGGGGTTTAGGAGCCGGGGTCCCTAGTCCTGCCCGCTTTAGGGCAAGCTCTCATGGCTTGACACCCAAGGCTCTTTCTGCAGACGCTACAGCCCAGGGGGGGGGAGGGTCCAGTGGAGTATTAAAGCCATTAGCTCTGAGAAACCGCCCACAGCTCCCCATAGTGCCTGACACCGTGGTTCCCAAACTTGCCGGGGCCCAGGAACCAGGTGGAGTGCTCTTTGAAGGTACAGATTCCAGAGAAACTGAGAGGTCAGAGCCTTAGCTGCCTCCCTCCTGCCCGGGGGCCCCCCCCCCGCCCCCGGTGAGGAGGTTGGAGGAGGAAATGTCCAGTCTGTCCAACACTGACTCTCCTGGAGGCCCCACCAGGGTCTCATCTTATCCCACCTCCCAACACACGCAAAACCACACTTTCTTCTCGGTCCCTCGGCGCATAAACCCCTTCGTCCGCTTTACATAGTCAGAGTTACTTAATCCTCACAACTGCCTTGTGTTAAATACATGACCCCCAGTTATCTATTTGTTTAATTGAGATGCAATTCACATGCCATACAATTCATCCTTTTAAAGTGTGCACTTCAGTAGTTTTTAGTATATTTACAGAGCTGTGCAACCATCACCACTACCGAATTCCAGAACATTTCCTCACCCCAAAAGGAAACCCAGTACCCGTGAGCACTCACTCTCTGTCCCCACCCCCACCCTCACCCCCACCAACTCGCTGGCACTCATTCATCCGCGTTCTGTCCCTATGGGTTTGCACATCCCGGACATTTCACATAAATGGATTCGTACCATGTGTGGCCTTTTCTGTCTGGCTTCTCTAACTTAGCATCATGTCTTTGAGGTTCATCCGCGCGGCCTGGATCCGTACCCCCTTCCTTTTTATGGCAGAATAACATCCTGCTTCATGGCTATGACATCCGTTTTCATAGCTGCAGAAACTATGGCTCCATGTCTTTGAAGCCCCCTGTCCCCCGCCCATGACTCAGTAAGCACCGGAGTCAAGTTTATCTTTCTGTGCAGCCAAGAGAAACGGCTCAAGAACTGAACAATCGTAATCACATTTGCACCAATTTATATAAATATATACCCTTAGCATTATTAACAGCGCTTTATGGTTTATAAAAGCCTTTCGCTTTATACTCTTGCTTTTTCAGATCGATCCTCCAAGGTGGAAAAGACAAGTGTGCCCCACTTTTGGAAGGAACCAAGAATTTAAAGTGGTGTGTCCAAGGCCTGAGACATTTATTGATGGATTTATGGTGGCTGCATCAGAATCCAGATACAACGTAAGCCAACAGGATAGCTTTAACACTTGTTTACAAAGATGCATGATTTAGAGAGGTGCTTTTATTTTGTCTTTTGGATTACTTTGTAGTGAATGCAAACCTTGCAGCCGAGGGAAAACCCACATAAACTCCATCTGAGAGTGATCACTGGGTTTCAATTTAATGTTTCTGACCGATCCTGGAAATAAAGGTTGGTATTTCTTTCAAAATACAGACTCCCTGGTTCCGTCCCAAATCTTAACTGCATTGCTGAGGGAGGATAATTTGGATGATTTATTGAGGATCAAATCTCAACTTTGTAACCTGGCAGGTAAGTTCCTTAAATCCAAGTCTCAATAAGCCCCTCCAACCTCCCCCCTCAGCAAGAAGTGTTTTATTTTAATTTTGTAAACATTTTTATTCATTTTTGAGAGACAGAGACAGAGCGCGAGTGGCAGAGGGGCAGAGAGAGGGACACACAGAAAACAAGCAGGCTCCAGGCTCTGAGCTGTCAGCACAGAGCCCGACGCGGGGTTCACATTCATGAACCACGAGATCACGACCTGAGCCGAAGTCAGATGCCTAACCAACTGAGCCACCCAGGCGCCCCAAGAAATCGTATGCTGGCTTCCCTCTGAACTTCACGTATCCAGGGGTATTTACTGAGCCAGATGTCAGGATCTGTACCAAGTGCTAAGGTTCCGGGGGACCACAACAGAGCCCACTGGGAGCCTCTAGGCCACATGAAAAGACAGACATTGCCTGAGTTATCAAAGACCTGCTGGGGAGTATTACTCACCCTTAAAAAGGAAGGAAGATGCTGACCCCCGGGCCGGGCCTGCCTGCCTCACCCTGCTCTAGCCACCCGGCATGCTTCCTTCTATTGGAATAACCCGGGTGAGTTCCTAACTCCAGCCTCTGCTGTGCCTGTTGAAGCCGGTACCTGAGACTCGGCACAGCTGGCTCCTTGCCGTGATACAGGCTCAACACCAGATGCCGTGCCCCTCCGGGGAGGACCCCACTGCTTACCACGCTCTCGAGCGATCTGATTTACGTGTACACAGCGCAGGCAACCCCACGCTGGGGGCCTCGCCTGCCTCATTCCCAGCCGGAAGAAATTACAGCAAATCTGCCCTATTTGCCTTTTCATTCCCTGCAGGTGCTGGGGAGCAGGGGCCTGGCACTTAGTAGGTAGTCAAGAAGGTTTGCTTGGTGAATGTTCAGGCAGATAATGCCACTAAGCAGCCAAAGTGCTAATTACAAACTGCTCTGTTAGCTGTTCCTCAGAGCAACTGAAAGATTCTCCAAGAATAGCGCCTTGCCGTCCCTGGAATAACAAACCCAGTTTCTTGATAGCGTCTGTGACTCAGACTGTTCAGGGAGCCAGACGTGCCTCCCCCCTTCCTCCCCCCACCCTGTTCCCCCGAGAGTATGCAGGGGCATAAACCTCAGACACACACAGGGCTGGATGCTGTTATCCATGGAGGGCATGGGGTGCATCCGGGGCCATCTCAACCCCTTTCCTACGGGGGTGTTTTGGGAAAGACAAGCGTGGCCTTGAGTGAGATCCAGAGATCCAGCAACACCCAGGGGCCCAAATATCTTACAGAGGCTGCCACCTGCTCTCAGATATGCTCAGTGCATTACAATTTATCACACCGGGCCGCCACATTCTCGTTAGGAAGTCATTGTTTGGAAGTAGCCAGAGAAAGGTGGGAAGAGGAAAGCCGTGAGGGGCTGCGTCACTTGACGGGGCCACACAGCGAGTCAAGAGCAGGATGGAACCAGAATCCATATTTCCTGGCCTGTGATCCAGGCTTGACCTACTGTGCCCTTGGGTAAGCAAGGGTCCAAGCACCTCAGGCCACCAACAATTGGGTGCAAGTGCTCACTCAGTAGGGAGCAAGCAGGCCTGGTTCCCTCCTGAGCCAAAAGGAGCAGCCAGTGTCCCGAGGGGGAGCTGTGTGTGTATGCACATGAAAATCCATGTGTCTGTACAACTCTGCCCAGGCCTTGCTCTATCTCACTGAGAAGCGTGGCCTTTACAGCCAGGCGTCCCAGGGCTGCCGGAGAACACTGTAGGCCTGGAAAATTTCCCAGCTCTTCTTTGCAGTGCTATTAGTTTCCCTTCATCGCCCCATAAAATCCTCCTGCCGATGATGGATGCCACCCCATCGTGGGAGGGAGGGAGGAAAGAAAACACAAAGGAAAAAAAAAACCCTCTGGTTAAACTTGGAAAACCCCATGGGCACATAACTTGGGAAAAGGCAGCATCAGAGGTAGTTGGGTTGCCCAGTTCAGCTGCACAGGCTGTGCACTGCCCAACTCCAAGAGATGACATTCTTGTGGACTATAAGATTGGCAGTCCCCTGAGTTGGGCAGTGCAGGGAAATGGCCCTGCTTGATCTGGGGCAATGTTTTCAACAGTCTCAAGGTCCACTCCTCACTGAAACCTTGTCCTAGCATGAGGATCCTTCAATTCTCAGGAACCACCCTTTGGGTCAGAAGAACTGACCAAAATCGAAGAGGAATCAGGGTGAAGACTTTGGTGTCTTTTGAGTCATTCTGGGGGCCAGGCTGGAATCTAGCCCCAAGCCTAGGACCTGACGGAAGAATTAGCTGTCTTTTATGAGCTGAATCTCGCTTCTCCAGCACCGTCCTCTCTCTGCAAACCACTCTTATCTTTCACCAGTTCTGGAAAATTCTTAGCAATTCTCTCTCCGAACATGACTCGAGCTTGTTTTTCTCTACTCTTTGTGGAATTCTAATCAGATGAAAGTCAGGTGTTTCCCTTCTCCATGTGTGTTATCTTTTCTATGGCTTCCTTCCCTTCCCTTTGCTGTTTTCTGGATGATTTCTTCACATGTGGCTTCCAGTCACTAACTCCTGCTTCAGCTATGCCTACTCTCCTACTGAAGTTCTATTTGGTTCTTTTTCAGATCTGCTTCATCATTTTTTACAGCTTCTCATTCCCTGCACGGTTTTCCAACTCTGCCTTCTATTTATTCAAACGCATCGAACACAGTTATTTTCTCTTCTCTGCCTAAATATTGCTGTAGCTGAGGTCCCGAGGGTCTGTTTCTGCTGTGAATGGTTCGTGCTGGCTCTGGCTCTGGCTCATGGTGTCTTCTCTCTTCTGATGCTTCGTTATTTTTGAGGACGAACTGCTCATTTTCTGTGGAAGTTACGCGGAGAAAATCCTTTGAGACTCAGGACGAGGGCCTGTGCTTTCTGAGATTTACATTTGCTTCAGCAAACGCCTGGGTTACTGCCTGTCTGAGACCACCCTCAACTCCCCGCTAGCAGTTGGTCTGAAGAATGGGTTGGGGGCGGGGGGGGGGGTTGAGCTCACCCTTGTCATCCTCCAGAACAGATAACAAGTATATTTATTTGCTGGGGCTGCTGTCACAAAGGACCACAAACTGGGTGGCTTTAAATAATACATTTATTCGCTGATGGTTCTGGAGGCCAGAAGTCTGAAATTAAGGTGTCCGTAAGGTCAGTTCCCTCTTAGCTTCTGGGAGTTGCTGGCGATCCTGGATCCTGGGCATTTTTCGGCTCCCTGCTGCATCTGCTGTCACGGGCCATTCTCTTTGTGTCTCTGGGTTCCTGTGTCTTCACAGGGACCTTCTTATAAAGTCCTTGTTACAAGACCTTGTAAATCCTTCTTATAAGGACGCCAGTCAGTGGACTTAGGACCCACTCAACTCCAGTAGAACCTTAACCTGATTACATCTGCAAAGACCCTATTTCCAAATAAGGTCACATATGCAGGTGGGGGGTGGGGAAGAGGGTACAATTCAAAGCACACTCTCCTTCAGGGTGTAACCTCTCTCAGCAGCCTGGACCTTATAGTTTCTACAGTTTCTTCTCAGTGTCACCTGGCGTGACACTTTTCACTCTATTCACTGCAGCACGCTGCCTTCCCTCTGTCACCCCAATAAAGGGGACGTGGCCTCCTGCGGCCCCACCTGTTGAACACCCTCAGGGACAGTACACAGGAAAGGACAGTGTGACAAGGTTCTCCCTGGACTCCCTCAGCAGCAAGCAAATGGCAAAGGTTGGTCTATTGTACCATAAGAACCATCTTCATTTTGAACAACTACTTAGGGGGGAAAAAAAGCAAACAGTCAATACACTAAATTCGATGAAAAGTTCTAGTAACTAAATCTTCCTTCCACTCTTGGGATAAATCCTACTGGTCATTCTTACATTATTCTTTTAATGTTTGGCTGAATTAAATCTTTTTTTTTTTTTCAGAAAGAATTCAGGTTTCTATTCAAAAGTGAGACTGGCCTGTGGTTTGGCTGAGTTATCCTCTGACTTTGATATGAGGGCTCCTTCATGTTTTCGTATGTTCCGGAATAGGCTAGAACACGAGTATTATCTATTTCTTGAAAGGGAAAGATGCTTGAAATCTTTGGGAGACTTCAGTCCTGTTTTCGGGGCAAATGTATTTTCTGGAGAAGCCAGTTTTGGTAGTTTTTATTTTCTCAGAAAGTCCTACGTTTCACTTAGATTTTCTAATTAATTGGCGTAAAGGTGCATATAACAGTCTTTTCTTTTTAAAATCTCTTCTGGAAAAAAAAATTTAAAAAACAGCAAAAAAGGGGCACCTGGGTGGCTCAGTCGGTTAAGCATCTGACTTTGGCTCAGGTCATGATCTCACAGTTCGTGAGTTTGAGCCCCACATCAGTCCATGCTGTCAGCACAGAGCCCGCTTCAGATCCTCTGCCCCGCTTTCTCTGCCCCTCGCCTGTTTGTGTTCTCCCAAAAATGCATAAATATTTTTAAAAATCCCCTCTGTAGTTATATTCTCTTTCTCGCTTGTGCCTTCTGCTTTTTTTTTTACATCAGACTTACCAAAGTTGCGTTTCTTTTGTTAGTCTTTCCAAAGAACATGCTTTTAGAATTATTAATGAATTTTGTTTTCTGACTTCACGTGTAATGATATCTTTTTACCTTCTCTGAGTTTATTTTTCTAGCTTCTTGAATTGACAGCTGACTTCAATCATGTTTAGCCTTGCTTGCCTCTTAATAAATGAATTTAGGGCTACAGATTGTCCTTTGACTACCAATTTGCCTTCACTCCATAGGTTTTATATTCAGTGGCCTTACTGCTCTTCATTGAAAATACTGTCGTTTAAAATTTTTCACGTTGGGGGCATCTGGGTGGCTCAGTTGGTTAAGCGTCGGACTTGGCTCAGGTCATGATCTCACAGCTTGTGGGTTCAAGCCACCCATCAGGCTCTGTGCTACCAGCTCAGAGCCCAGAGCCTGCTTCGGATTCTGTGTCTCCCTCTCTCTCTCTCTCTCTGCCCCTTTCCTGCTTGTGTTCTCTCTCTCTCTCAAAAATGAATAAACAGTTTTTAAAAAATAATAAAATTTTCGCTTTGACTCTCATCTAACCTAAGAGTTACTCAGTTTTTTGTACCTAAT